CTCAGACACCAGCATAATGGCATTCCTCCTCTCAAAGAAAGATGCTGATAGTCCAGATCAATCTATTCACAAAGGTTAGGAAGAGAACTTCTCTGCAGCCCTCTAACAAAATTATCTCAGCCATCAGAAGATCTGTGGTAGAAATGGTTTTGTGTCTACTCAATTTGCAGAGTCTGCTTTTTTTCCTGGTGCGTGGTTTGTTTTAAGCCTCACTTACATAACATTTATTTATCACAGCCACACAGGCAAATTCATGTATATGTATTTAGTATAAAAGCGTTTGAATTAATGTTCCCTGCTTGTTTACTTTGAAGGACTGAATGCCCCCTCAGGAAGACATATTGATCTTGAAGGAGGCCATTCTCCGATGAACGCTGCTTCCTGCAATATTTATGGCATCTGAAGTCTTTTCTCTGCTCTTGATCTTTTGGAAAGAGATCCCAGAGGAGGGCGACAAAGCCTGGAGAGGGGAGGAGGAAGAAGTAGTACAAGAGGGGTCCCTCTGCTCCAAGCGCAAAACATCAAAATGTAAACAGGAAGGTGATCAAGGACTGCGGTTGTTTCTAAATAAAGCACTTAAAGTTAATATTAATGAACATGAGTGAAAAAAAAACACTGAGCCAACTTTATGGAGAGTGCTAGGTTAGAAAAAATCAGCGGCTTTTCTCAGTTTTGCAGCTCGATTCTGCTAATGTACACCATGTCATCTACAACTTTTAGGCCAGCCAAAAAAACTGGTGTCAGTGGAAACATTGGAAAGTAACCTCTTCATGGTCTAGTATTTGCACTCTTTTCAATTACTCCACATGGCCATAGTTATTACTAAAAATAAAATAAAAAATACTTCTCTGGCTCTTTCTTCAGAACAGAATTCAGGCTCCATAACAGCTGGGAGAATCAGGAGAGCTGACTTGCTATGCATGTGATGTCCTCCCTCCACCTCCATCCCGAAGAGAAATCACCCCTCTTTGGGTGATTGTTGATTTCATGGCACGGTGAAGAACAAGCAGAAGCATCTCAGAGTAGTGAATCCAGTTCTAAGTCCAAGTCAAGATATATCACAGAATCGCTATATTATTTGTACTCATTTATTCTTTCTAGGGTTCAGCTGGGATAACTTCCTCCCATCCTTGGGCTTTGTGGCTACAAACCAGCCATAGAGCAAGGGTAGTTGGAAACAGCAACTTTTCTCTGGAGTCTCAGTGCACGCGGACAAGAAGCAAAGGCCAAAGCAGAAGGGAAATGACTGTGCTCCTGGGGTCCCATCTACCCTCCTCCATGCTTTTAATTCTCTTTATCACATGCTGTACACAAGCATAGGGCTAATGTACCTCATATATACGAGACAGCTAAGGATATACAAGTCTATCTATATATGCTGCTATGGAACAGATGAGTGAGATAGGCTGCATGGTTAGCAGCCACTTCCCTTCATGTTCTGTTCCCACATGGCAAGGTACAGATAATGAGTAGAAAAACACAATCCTCCCATTTGAGAAGGATGTGCCACGACATCCTGCAAAACAGATAATGAGTCGTTTGTACTGCTCTTGAGGTCTATGAAACTGCCAGCTTTGCACTGTGCCTCTCCTCTCCCTTTCCCTTTATAGAAAGCATATTTTGTCAGGAAAATCCATGCTAACATGCAGAAACCGAGGTTGAGACAGACTGGGAAAAGATGAGACCAGAGGGCAGGGTTACACTGTAAAAAATAGTTTTCAATCAAAGAGCTTAGCTGCAACTGGCTGAAAAGAACTTGATGGAAGAATATGATCAAAACAAATTATTCATAGGAGTAATGTGATGAGAAAAGCAGAGATTCAGGGTAAAAAGCGGGGAGAGAGGGACGGATTTTACAAGCCAAATGGGTGTGACAAGTTTGATTTCTCAGAAGTGACCTGCACCTGAAACTTCCTTCCAGGGACAGGGGATGCAGATGGGATTTCCAGAGGCCAATAATGGGACAATAGAGGTTTAGAGCATCAAGAGCAGGATAAAGAAGTTGATGATGACACGTGCTCTTGCCAGCACCTTTTCCACACAGCAGGAGGAGGTTCAGCTCCCTGCTATATTAAGATGAGCTACTGAAAGACAATTTCTCCCCATAGGCTCTCAGTCAGTAGAACGGACTGCCTCAAGGCATTTTGGTGGCCAAGAGCAAAATCTTTTTAAAAAGCCGTTACAAAAACCATTACTCATTTCTCAGCAGCTATGGCCTGTGTGGAATATATATCCTCAGCTACAAACCTCCTGGCAACTCTCATTAGGAAAATTCCTCAAAATCAGGCAACCAGAAGTGCCAGTTTTCTCAGGCGTCCCAACCCGACCCAACCCTCTGCAATGCTGCAGCTACTCCATGCTCCCCAGGGGCTGTAGCATAGTGCATCCAAGCCCTGTGTCAGAAAGGCACAGAGAATGACGGAACGGAAGCCACCAAGCTCCAACCCCCTGCCACAGGCAAGGTTGCCAACTACTACATCAGGCTGCCGAGTGCTCCCATCCAACCTGGCCTTTCACACGGGTAGAGCAACTCCAGATCCTTGTGGCTGCACACAGGGCTGGCCAGGAGCCCCCAGAAGCTGCAGAGGCTTGCTGCACATCACAGCCAACATCAGCCCTCTTCCTGCTTTCGGTAGATTTCTGCATTCATGTTGTGCTAGGTTCCTTACTGCAGCTTATCACCAAACAGCCTCTCCTGGCTGTGTAAAGCACTTCCCTGGTGCAGTCACTCAGAAAAAAAAAAAAAAGAAGTTACAGAATTTCTCTCACTCAAATATTAGTTTTAAAGGGAGATCAGAAAGCTTCACCATAGCAATGACTCTCCAGGAGAGGTGTGAAACGCAGTGCTTATCAACTAGTTCAACGCTGCAGAGAGAAATGGACATCCGAGCTCATTTTGCTACATAATGTTATTAGTTATATGAAATTAGACTGTCAAATACAGCTTTATAAAATGCAAGCAGAACGCAAGAGGGCAAGGAGGAGAATGAACACACCAGGGACAAATCACTGTCACTCACAACGGAGTGCCTGGCAGACTAAGAATTAAGTTCACTCCTCAGGGCAAGCCATCCCCAGCTGTTATAAATACATTTTAATGCCCCTGTCAGAGTGCTGAAGGAGTGAGCTAGTGCAGTACGTCAGGTGCTTTCTGTCACTCAAAGAGCTGGAAAAAGCCATGTTTCGATTGCAGCTTTGTCACTTTTGCCTCCAGCAGTGCTGAGGCAGCTCCTCCATGGGTCAGATGGGGCAGGCAGTGGTTTGGGAGCAGGGCTCAGGCTGCTCCTTTTTCTATGGTTAAGGCAAGCAATGGGTATGTTAAGCTCCTCGGTCCTCTCTGGACTGTGAGACCAAATCACCATTTAAGAGGCCGCTTGGGCTTCTCCCTGGGAGACTGACATGGTAGGATTTCAGCCATGCTTGGTTGCTAACAGCATGGCTCCTGGAGACCTTGCTCAAGCTGCACCAGGAGCTGTCCCCAGAGGGATGAGATGAGGTCAAGCCTCAATCCTAGAGCAAGAAAGAAACACTGTGGCATGGTCCCCAGAGCCAAATCCCTTCTCTTCCCCGTGACTCCATCTCCTAATGTCCTCCAGAAGCTGCAGCTCAGCTACAGACACCCACTCAGGGACAGAGAGCTAAGTTGGAGCCAATTCTCTTAGCTGCTGCTTTATTTTTCATTATTGAGATTCCCCTTCTTCAGAAATGAGGGTGAAGATGGGGCTTTACCCCAGCTGTCAGTTGTGCATTGTCACAGCTGCACTGCACACAAAACCACCACCAGGAAAAGCAGATCCCAGGTTAGGGGTCCTGCTGGTCTCCAAAATGAAGACAGGCTCTTTTCTGGAGGAGCAGCTCTCCAGTGCTGTCCCAAGAGGAGCAAAACTGCATTCCCTTTGTAAATCCACTTCTGGATTGCTGTTGCCTTCCACTTCCCTCTGAAACATGAGCTCGGCCCTGCACAGACCACAGTGTCTGAGCAGTAGGAAATACAGAGTGTTTAAGTCACAGGAGACCAAGCACAGTAACAAAATAGGATGGAGCCATGAACAGGCAACACAAATGGGAGGCTCCAGAAGAGGAGTTCATTTCAAATAAACAGAACTTACATCAGAAACACGCTATTGCAAGGCAGCATGCAGGCAGCTGCTCATTCAGATGGAGAGACTTATAAGGCTGGGCACCCTTTGGGCTCATGCACGTATTTGGTACCAGGATGACATGGCACACTTTTCCCAGTCCATCCTGGCAATCCTAGCAATAAGATGGACAACCACAGCAGCTACTGACTGGATCCACGGAGATGTTCAGGGCCAAAAGCCAAGGCATCCTTTTGAAACAGAAAGGCTTTGTTTCTACGATTTGTTTCATCCCTGTTTTATTTCTAAATGGCTCTTGTTTCCCTGCAACCACCTCAGCAATAGTTCATGTACAGTAACATGCCAAGCCACCACAAAATGTCTTGGGAAGAGATATTTCACTCGGCTCAGCAGCCCTTAAAGGGAGCGTCTGCTGTCAGACACCCGTGCTCCTCACCCATTGATGCATGGGCTTGTCTGAGTGCAGACTTTGGTTCACTGCATACTCCCTATCGGAGGGAGATTTTATCAGCATTACCATTGCAGCACTTCTTTAAAAACCAATGTGGGATCTCATCTTTCTGGGAGCACATGCGTGCAATTTACAACCTCGCAGCCAGCAGCATGGCAACCCAGATTACTTAATTCATCATTTCCCGAGAAGGGAAGGCAGCTGCTGAGGCACAGGGAGGTTTCAGTCGGGCGAGACCTGGTCATTATCTGTTGAAGTAATAGCTTCAAAAAACACACTCTGCTTCCTAGACTTCAGCTGGATACAAGATTGCATCCCACAAAGTGGAGATCCCACCCTACCCTTAGCTGCACACAACCAAGCCATCAACAGAACCAACCACATAACTAATTCTGCTCATAGACGTTCATGAAGCACACAGAGACAAACAGCAAGTCTCCAAGTCTCACCTCTTGAGGGCAGGGACTCAGCACTGTGACCATTGTGCTATGGAAGACACTCTCTCCTCCTCTACTGTATTTTAACTTTCTTCAATTCCACTTTTTTTCTAGTAGGCATCAGCCCCCAGCACCAGAGAGCAGCTGGTCCAAAGGAGCTCCACCAGGTCTGCAAAGCAATATGAACGAGAAATTAAAAATGCATTTGCAGCTTAGCAGATGGAATGAGACATGTAGGGTTAATCAGGCTGCATGTCTTTAGAGACTAGTGGTGGTTTCCCCCTCTGCTACCTAAGGATCAAAAACACAGAGACTAGTTCCTCACTGAAGGCACATCTACAGCAGATCCTCACTCTTCTCACGGAGGGGAAGAAGGTGTTTTTTCTCACTGGCATGGGTTCACCTCCCTGCCATAGTTCCTGCCTCAAAAATGTTCAGTGGGCTGCTGGGCACCAGGAACTCTATGTGTTAACATGGAAAAACACATAGGACAAAGAGAAGAAAGGAATAAAAATCGTGACTAGTGTAACTGTCCTTATCTTTCAGCATATCAGTGTAGAGCTTAATAAAGCCATAAGGAATATATTCTTGGGTACGTGTGCTTTTCCAGCAGGCTATGCAGCTCTTGTGTAAGAAAGAGCTCCATCTCCTGGGATGTAGCTCAGTCTCTGGGCCATTAACAGAGTCCTTGAAAGGACTCCCCTTTTTCATTCTTTTTTTTTTTTTTTTTTTGTTCCTCTACTGCTGAAGATTCCCCTGTGGAAGTACTCAGAAGCTGTATGGGAGCAGAGGAAGGAGAGCTGCCTGTTTTGCTTGGAGCCCTGTGGAGGTGGTTAACACAACATTGCCAACACCCAGCTTGCAAGCTTAAGGCTTAGAAAGACCATACATAACACTCTGCATTGTTTAAAGGGAGGCTTGTGTTAGTCCCCGAATTTTTCACTCTTTAGGGCACTGTTGGGCAGCTAAATCTGTCCTTGCTCACAAGCAAGACAGAGATCCTGGGGAGATAATGCTGCTACTGCCAAGGAAATGCCAACCCCTTCAGAGCAGGGCTCCTGATAGAGTTTCCCATTGGAAATAATAATTAAAAAAAAGCAAAGTTTCCAAAGTGGATGAGTCTTTCCTTTCTAAGCCTCCTCTTTCAGTCTGATGGAGCATGGAAGAGCGCTGATCCTGCTAACTCGCTCCTGGGTATGGTGTAGATTTGCTCCCATCCATGCCTCTGGGGCTTTGGGTTTGCCTTGCTTATGCTGCAGCACTCAAACTCCCTTGGCTCCCAAACCTTGGGACTAAGGCATGAGACCCACAACCAAAAGACAGGTTTTGCTTAGATCTATTGGTTGAAAACACAGGAGTAATTTAAAGATATGGAGCATATAACTACAAAAAGCAAAATGTTTTAAGAAAATGTATTGCAAGAGTTAATACCCCAAATTAATAACGAACTCTTGCAAATAAAGCAGAATGTGGTCTAAAAATACTTGCTGCAAGTACTTGTAATAAAATAATGGCAAGATAAAATTGCAGTTATTTTTATTAGAAAATATCAGGTTCTTATGAGGACGGTGTCTAGCAGCTTCAGCTGGGGCAGAACTCAATTACAAAGGAAAGAACATTACGCCTCAAGGTACCTATATGCTTAATTCCCAGTCCAGTCAATATCTTTGAAGATATGGCTGGAAGAGATTTGCCAAGGAAAGCCAGCTGTCCCGTCCTGCAGAGGACATGCTGACCAGAGCTGTGACATGTTACATCAGCTCTGTGACTCCTGAGGCACTGACTGGTGCTGCCTTTCAGCATCAGCAGGAGCACACTGCAGGGGAGCAGCTCAGGGTGGTAGTTAATGGGATGGGTAAAGGCATAATGCTGGAGGACATTAGAAGGCAAATCATAAAAATAAAAATGCTTTACAGCTTTACAATAAAAATGGGCATATAAAAGAAGTTCAGAAGAGATTGCTGCTTCATTCCAGACCAAGTTTAAAAATTAGCTAAAATTTATTAGATGGCTTTTGAATCAGCAATGCAATAAATGCTGATGTAGTTGTTACAGAAGTTCTCTGATCTATTGTTCAGAATGAAAAATATAAACTTATCTACAGTTTATCTTTTCCCTTGGGGTGATGTTTTTTTTTCATTGCTTTTCTCCTTGCTCCAAACAATTAAATGATGCTATAGATAGTGCCCGTTTGATGCAGACACCCACAGCCAGAGTGGTGTTTCTCTGAGCTCTGTAAAATAAGCTTGTACATTACATGCCCTGCAGTGCTAGCCTGCTAGTCTGCTCCTGCCAACATGAGGCAGTGACACACTTGGGTGATACCAATTGCTTTTAAACAGTCTTAACTATCTGGGGAGGGACACCTCTAGCAGCTACAGTCTGCTTGCTGTTCTCTCATGCTGAAGCTCTGTCTTATGTGGGATATGAATTAAACTCTATTTACCAGGCAGTATTTTCAAAACTTGAGCCCCACTTTCTTTTCTCAACCAAAGCAACCAGAAAATAGAAGATCAAAGGTGAGAATTTTCCTCCAGTTCTCATCACTGTCATCTCTCTGCTCTTGATAGCAAAGAGCCAACTGATCCTTGACCTATGCCTGGCTGTTCCTGGTGTGCATCATTGCCTGGATGTCTGTGCAGCCCTGCAAGTGCATGATGGGGGAGAGAAGCAGCAATATACAGCTGCACAGCAGGCTGAATGGCTATCTGGAAGGAACATTAATTTTGGCCAAGGAAACTGTTTCAGCTAATGTATGTTCCCTAATGATTTTTAATGTCACATGGGAAGAGTCGCTCTTTAATTTCAAGGGCCTGCCCAAGATGTTTTGTGGCAGTAAAGCATGCAAGACTTGCTCCAGGCAAGAGCATCCTCCTGTCAGCACCCAGACTGAGATTTCAGGGAATCAAAACTTGCTGAGACATCCACCATGGTGTCTGGCACACTGGGACACACTATTAACCCCACTCTTTCTTATAAAGCTCACTGCTCCAGAGAAGGACACCGCACATTTCCCCACACATTGGCTCCAGGCATCCATGCGTAGTCATATTGACCCTGGGACAGTGGCAGTGGGAATAAAGCCATCCTGAATCTGACACCAATCATTTTATATCCTGATGCATGAGGCTTAATTACCCGTGTCATTAGCTTAGTTTGCTTCAAAAGTAATATTTAACAGATACTGAAAAGCATCATCATGCACGTTAATTATCTCCTAGCTAGATGGGAAAATAAGAAATTGATTTGGTAGGAATTAATAAACAAAGCACAAACCAGAACACAATAGAGCCATCACCTAGAAGCAGGTGGGTAAAGCCAAATGTAGCCCTGTGTTTGAAAAAAAGCTTTTGGAATAAATGTTTAAATGCAGTTAAGGGATTTTTTTCTTTTTTTTACTCTAAAAAAAGTGAAACGGCAAGAGTTTTGAGAAACACAGAAGCATAAATATCCATCACATAGATAAACACACATCTGCAACAAGAAAACCCTGTGGGTGTTTTCATCCTGTGCAGTGTGCTTGGTGGTACCTTTAAATATGGAGAGCACTGCTCCTTTACTCTCCTGACTTGCACAATCCATCAGTGTCTGCGTGGCTCCGGGTCCCTGTGGTCTTCTACCGCTGCTCATTCCCCACGACACGAGTTAGTGCTTCAACTGCACCACCAAGAATGAGGAATGAAAAGGTAAATTGGATTTGTGAGGGCTCCCTGTGCCAGACAATAGGAACAGGAAAGAAGGAAAGGGAAAACTATTACTGACCTTTCTCCATTGCCAGGGTGCATGCTGGGGAAGAAAGGAGCCAAGATCTCACTCTTATTTCACTGAGACAGAGGCTGGGGGAGGCTGAAAGTCGGTGCTGGTGCCAGACTCCATGTGGACAGTCAGGTCAGATTCAGTTCTGTGCTGCCTTGCCAATGCCCTCAGCGTGTCCTCCCTGCACTGACAGAGCCAAACCACATGAGATGGAGTCAATTAAATTACCAGGTCATTTCTTTGGTTTGCACAGACGGTCTGTGGGAGGGGAGTCAAACAGTCCCATGGAGCCCCCAGACCTCAAACCAGTTGGACATCCAAAGGCAGAAGGGACAGGGCAGCCTTGATGCAGCAGCTGTGGTGAGCCAGGTCCCTTGAGCCATAGGGAGCAGGGGGCATAGAAAGAGAAGAGGGGCAGACTCCCAACAGGACAAATCCACCTTGTTCTGCCAGAGTGGAAAGGTCATTTACATCAGCTGAACAATCGTCCTGCAAGGTCTTTAGAAGTCCTCAAAACCATATAAAAATGCACTGAAGAATCCTTGCTTTCTAAAGCTGCTTCATCCCACTCCAAAAGGAACATCTCCATTTCCACTCCCTCTCCCAACCTCACCTCATTAACTGTTTTTTAAATGCATCCCATAGTGCCAAAACTACAAAAAAAAAAAAAAAAGAGAAGAAGAAGAAGAAAAGAAAGAAAAAAGCCTCTCTTCCCTGCTCCAAAGAGCAATTAAATCCCATTAACCTTCAGCTGGCCCACTCAGGCAAGACGGTCACTGACAACTGTCATCAAACTTCCAGCAGCATAGCCACAGAGCCACCAGGACTGCTCGGGGAAGCCTTGTTCATGGCTTTACTTAGTGTTCTCCCCATATGTGCACAGAGCTGTGTGCTGGGACAGGCAGGATTGTCTTCTCGCTGCAGATGAGAGCACCTAACATTCAGGGAAAAAACAGGTTTGCAGTTACTGAATTATCTCTGGGAGTAAAAATCCCACCCCAGCAAACAGCAAGGCACAAAACGGCAAAGCTGCAAGCTGTCATAAGCAGGTTGCATGGGGGACAATGCCAGCAAACATCCTGCTTTGCCTCTGCTTGTATTAGTGAGGCCGTTTGCTCACCCTGCTTGTTTCTCAGCTAGGACTGTGATGAGGTTGAATTCCCTCTGACTCTTCTCTCTGGCGTTTTGGTGGGTTTTCAGCAGGTACTGCAGGCATGATGTGTTATTGGAGACTTGGGCAGCACATCACCGGGGCTCAGTTTTCCTGTAAGTCAAGAAAACAGTCTTGCAAGAAAGACAAACCGACAAGCGTGATGTATATGGCAGCAAATAATGAAAACCAGACTTCAATCAGCCAGAAAACTACCCAAAGGAAAGGGAGAACTAAGTATTCAGAGAATTCAGAGAAGTATTCAGGCCAATCTCAGCTCATCTCTTCACACCTTGTGCTCAAAAGTGGGTTTGCTTTGGGCCACAAGCAAAATGAAATTTAAAAGGAGGAAGTCTTCATCCCTTCCCAGCTGGGCCCTTGGAACAGACAAGCTGAAGTTTATACTCTCTCTGCACTGCTTGCTGGTCCCTATGCACAGCCCACTAAGTAGCACAGTGAAGACAGGCTCCACTTCTCTAAAATCCACAGCCCTTAAGCTGTACCAAGTTATATATCAAACAGTGACACCTTAAAATCAGAAGTGACTTTTAAAAGCACCGGCTTCTATTTTTGGAAGGCAATTCCTTCCCTTGAAGCATCTTGTTTAGAAAATAACAGTTTTTCCTCCTTTCCATTGATATTTGTGACAGAATGATTGTGAGGTCTCAATTACTCTGTATTCAGTGTGCTAATCCCCTTGGAGATAATGTGTTGCAGTCACCATGAAACCAGGCACTTAATGAGATGATTGAAAATAGTAATCAGGCACTAGGTGAAGCACCTCACCTCTGGCTATTTGAGATTACTGACTCCAGAGAAACAAGCTGAATTATTTTTCTATCACATTTATTCCTCCATCCATAAAATCTTCTTATACTAGCTTCTAAAATACATAAGCAACGTGCTTCACTTCACAGAACTATACTTACTGTCACAGCTGAGCCCACAGGTCAATGTGTCTGAAGATGTAGATATCAAAATTCAGACTTAACCCAGCAGATCCGCGATTCCAGGTGAGGAACATTTCTGTCCTTGAATTCCTCCTCCTTTGCAGTCAGTTCACGTGGGGGTGGCGAATTCACAGAAGAATGTCCACTCCCCACTGAGTGTGACATCTCCTTATTTTCCGTGCTGATCTTTTCCCCGGTGGGAGCGACAGTGGCTGTCCTATAGGGGAGCAGCCAGCTCCACCATAGTTACAAGATGTCCTGGTCTTACATCAGCAGAGAGCATTCAATTCCTGTCAATAGAAGAAAAGTTGTTGGCACCAGCAGGAGCAGGTGGGAACCAAATCTAACAGTCCTGGTCCCGCCCCACAGGGACACCCAACAAGAAGATCTCACTGATGTGCTGTGTGCCATTCATTCATACAGCTCCTGGACCTCCACCCACCCTACGCTCTGCCCATTACAGAAGGCAGAACCACCAGCAGCCATACAGCCACTACATTTCAAGACATAAATAAGAACCTAAAGCAACCAGACCAATTTCCCCATTAAATGCATATTGCCACCATGAGGGCTGGAATGAAGGTCTGGGTTTGAATGTATTGTTGACAGGAATCCATTTCCAAAGGCATCAATTATTTACGACTGTAATAAATCATTTACATAGCACTGTAAATTCCAAACAGGGTTGAACAAACACAAGGCTTCATCATCACCCATTTCTCTTACAGCCAGAGCTGGGCTGGGAAGAGATGCTTATCTTAAATGGGATTGATTGGAGGCATTGTGCTCAGGGCATTGTACTCTGCATACAGTAAGGGGTAAAACTTGATGAAATAAAGGGTAAATTAATGTTAAGCCTCACTCTGGCAGTTCCAGGGCTGCCATGTTAACTGGTAGCAACATGTGAAGTTGGCATTTTACAGCCAGCTTGGGGATGGCTGGGGAAGGTCCCGACACAGCTATTCTGCCACTGAGACATGTCAGTGCAAAAAAGGTGCTGAAGAGTTTTGGGAAACACTGCTGGGAATCTTCCACCTGACCATGGAGGGTCACTGCACAGACCTGTGGCTGTGCCCAAGTCAGCTGGGTAGGGACAGCCCCAACCAGCAGCAGCCTCTCCACCAGCATTAGGGCTCACCATTTCTCATTACCTGTTTATATCTGAAATCTGGGACAGCTGCTGTGAACAAAGCTGTGGGGAGGTTTAGCAAGACATGCACTAAACAGGGCTGAGCTTCTACCCAGCCTAATGACAATGCAGCGAAATGCTGCAGCCCAGCTAACAGGAGGCTGGATCCTGCTCACATTACTCAAGTGCTCCATGGCCAGGTTCTGAGCCAAGTGGTGGGTCTCACTGCCATGAGCAAACTTCGCAGTATTAAAAAAAAAATTAAAAAAAAAAAAACAACCCTGGACTTGTGAAGCTTCTACAAACCAGGCAGTTATCCTGCAAATCCCTTCCTTATAAATAAATAACGAAAGCAACAGATAGATGATGCTGCTACAAGAAAGCGGCGAAATCAGTTGGCCTGTTTAAATCACTTGTGCTGGGGATGTATTTCCTCTGCCAGCCTGTTACTCAGAGCCCTGTGATTCGCTCTCCCTTTTTTTTTCCCAAACCAAAAACCTGCTGTTTTTTCTCTGAGCCTGAATGTTGCTGACTCCTTTGTCAGAGCCAGCTGCTATTAGTCATTTGGGGCTAATTCCTGCCAGGGTTTTATTTGCTGCAAGGCCCACAGAGGGATTTAAAGCTTTGCAGCAATCCACAAAGACCTAGTTGATCATATAGCCAAACTCTGTGTCACCTACCAGCATCAACAAAGTGGCTCAAACAAGACGAAGGGTGATGTGGCACCATGATGTGCCTCATGTCATCGAGACCAGAGCCTGGCCTTCAGGTGTGAGAGGCCATCTGCCTCAAGAAGAAACCATGGGCTCTACTTCTCTTCACAGGACACCACTTGTAATGCAACAAAGCAGAAACATGCCATTTGGAAGTAATGAAGGCTCTGATCCAACGTCACAAGGCTCAGCATTGACACTTGCATCACTGAGCCAGTAGTGATCTTCCCATAGGGACTTACATTGAAAACATCTTCAGCACGCTGGTAGTAATTTGGAGAGGCATGCTGAAGTACTCTGGACAACTGGGTATGTCATATACCACATTTCAGTGCAATTTTAAGAATTGCAGCATCAGCCACATCTCCACAGAATGTTGAAGATACAAAAGAATTTATGAATACTCCACGTTAAAATTCACTGCTACCACTTAGTGAACCTCCTGCTGCAGCCTAATGCAGTCCACAGGTGACTCACTTTGCTTGGTTCTGGCATCCATTTGTGTACTCCAGATCATTCCTGTGTTGTGGGCAGTAATGGTCCTCCATGGCAGTGCAGGCATGGCACATAGTGCCACAACTTACCCGTCAGGCTCTTGGAGGTTACTACTTGTAATTAACTGCTGGGAAAGAACCACGAGGAAGAGTGGCTCTTATGATTAACAACAACTAGTGAAGACATCAAGAACCAATTTACCTTTTTATCTCTTATCACATAACAGGAAACCTCTGATATGCATTACTTCCATGCTGGTCCACATCATAGCACAATTTCTGTGGTCCCCTGCCAAAACAGGGAGCCTTGGGCCATGTGAGTGTGAAAGGTACAGAATTAAATACTTGCACCTGTGTTGATAATCGGCTAATTATCACTGCCTTCTGGGCAACTTGTGATCACAAGGCTTTCAGCAGAAGTCCTAGGAGAATTTCACCCTCCCCCTTTCTGAAGTAGCCAAATCTGCAGCCTAGGAATACTGGCCAGTTTCGGTCTCTCTACTTGAAAATGATTTTTATTTTTTATCTTTTTTTAAAGAAAATACTATGGAAATTTGCCTACTATATCAGGCCAAAAGGGGCTACGTGGGCACCTAGAAGCATTGTGAAAGACTTTTTAAAATCTCATTCAGGTTTCCCACAGCGTTCAGTTAGTCACCTACTCACCACCTACTCTTTGAAAGGGTAGGTAGCAGCAGGACAAGGGGAAATGGTTTTAGGTTGAGGGAGGGAAGATTTAGGTTGGGTGTCAGGGGGAAGTTCTTTACAGAGAGAGTGGTGAGGTGCTGGAACAGCTGCCCAGAGAGGTTGTGGATGCCCTGTCCCTGGAGGCGTTCAAGGTCAGGTTGGATGCGGCCCTGGGCAGTCTGGTCTGGTATTAAAATATGGAGGTTGGTGGC